TTGGGGGAGGGGCGACACAGGCTCTGGCTCGGCCCCAGCTGCTGGTGTCTCAGTGGGTCATGTGCACCCCAATCCACTGTCTCAGAGCCAGCACAGCTGCAAGAGTTGCCCAGGGGCTGCAACCTTTGTGGCCTACTGCCATGCGCATTTAGTCCAGGCCCCGGCTGCTTTTTGTCAGTGTTGGTGGGGCCAGCCAGAACTCGGGTTTCAGGGCACAGGATTTCCCTCTGGCTGGGCAGGTCTAGATGCTTCCTCTATGGGCACCGCCAGAACTCTGCCCTGTGCTGTGTTCCCCTGTGCCAGGGCGGCCCTGAGTTTCAGTGCAAAGCGCCCCGCAAGCTCTTCTCTCTCCCTCCCCTGGGCACACAGCGTCTCTCTGTACTTGGCACGCTGACAGGACACTGCCGGGGTGGGGAAGGGTGGCATATGCGTGCAAAATTGTCTTTCCTGCCCTCTTCAGTGCCTTGTTCCCTGATACAATGTTAAAACCCCAATTGCTCACCTGATTTTTAATTCTTCTTGCATTGCTTGGGTAGTTGTTGAACTTTGTGTTCATGCAGAGGGATGATTGCTGGAGGTTTCTATTAAGCCATCTTGCTTCATTTCCCTCCCCCCCCCATTCCCCTATTTTTAATAGGATATTTGCAATGTAGAATCTCAAACCAAATCATTGAACTTTTTATACTCTGCTATGTTCAAATCTACTGGTTTATCTTGCCCTAAGAATGCATCTTCTACCATTATAATGATGGAACCATGTATAATGATTTGTGGCTGCCTTGGTTATTTTGAAAATGGTTTACAGAGTTCTACAGATCTCTAAAATGTTGACACATTTCATTTGATAATATTAGAAATAACATTTGTTAATATTACCACCAATGTCATGAGAAAGGCCTTTAAATATGGGTATGCTGTCAAGCTCAAGGTAGCTGATACAAGTTACAAAATTCTAATTTTCACTTGAAAGCTCAAATTTTATCGTTGGCAACAAAATACTGTCAATTGTTTTCTTTGAAGTGACAGGCTCACTTTGTTCATTTTCAAGAAAATGTTTGCCAGTTGCTCAAGTCTGTATAACCATAGTTCTTTGTCAGTCATTCTTCCAAGTAAACATGATGTTCCACGAATAAAGTAGCTGGTTCAACTCGCTTCATAAACAGCTGCTCAAGTGCTTTTCACGAAGACAACCGTCTACTTCACCGTGTAGCAGATGCCCTGGACGCGTACTTCGTATCTGGTCAGATTATTAAAAAGATATACACCCAAGGGTCCAAATGTAATAGTACACTTTTTACAGCCTGGTCAAAGACGTTCTTATGTGACCCTGACTTTAAAAACATGGAGCGTGTGATAATGAACACAAGGACTCTTACTACAGCTTGATCACACCGGCTTGAGCCACGTGGAAGCACCAGGATTAGCGCTGTGGCACCCTGGAAAACCTGCACGGTGATACAGGAGTATAATGAAATAGTTTTATGATGAAAATGAAAATAGTTTTGACCTTGCAGACTCCCTGAAGGGGACTCAGGTCTGCCAGGGGTCCACAGACTATGCTTTTATAAATACTATACTACAGTGCTTGGACTCTTATCTGTCAGTTAATCTTGGATAACATCAACATCTGGTGCCAACGTCAGCTGCTGCTTAGATCCCTTGCTTCCGTGCCCCTCCTACTGGACACTGTTGGTTCTAATATTCACAGACTTATATTTTTAAATGATAAATTGTTATAAATATACAGTAGTACATGTAAAAATTCAAATATATTTCCCTGGTCCCACACTCTAGTCCCACTTATCAAAGGTTGCTCACTTTTACCATTTCTAAGTCCTGCTTACCTCCATCATTCCAGTTACCCTTTTACCTTGATTTCTTGGTTTGTCCACTTTAAGCAGTGTCTGTTGGCTGCCCACATGGAGGATGAGACATTAACTCATTTCTCATTTACATTATTCCCCACTTATACTCTTGCTCATCTTCCTCATTTTAGGGCACATATGTATGTTTTTATTTTTGCTTTTAGCTCTTTTGGTTATGTTTGCAGATTTATATAATGTACTTAAATGTCCCTTTCTGCTAAACTTAACACAGGCCAAGAACAGACTGGGGGGGTACTTTTTTATAGGTAGATCCCAATGAAATTCATGGCTCCTCCCTGTGGCAGAGTAGGTGAGAGACAAACGTTGTAATAACTGCCGTAACTCCACAATCAGCCGACAGGAAAAGTGGGATCCTCTCTTTACCCATGATCACATTTGACTTCCACTGACAGAAGAGAAAGTGGAGGCCACAAAAGTCACCTGCCTAGTGTTATTTAGTTAAGAACAGAGGTTGGACTATAGTCCAATCTATCCTTTTTGCTATTCTAATTTTACCGAGGACATCCCTGTAATTAATTTGGGATGTAAACAATATGGTTTTATCAGGTCGATCATAGGTGGGAGGCAGAAGTTATTAATGTTATATTTTCATAGCTTTTTATTGTTTTTAAAATTATAGTTTTATAAATTTGTCGATTTCTATGTTAAGTATATTTTATTTTTGATAGTGTGTTTTGTGGGCTTTTAAAAGTTTGTTTGCTTTGAAGGGCATGCATTAAGTTCTGAAACGATGCACTAAAGCACTAGGAGTTATGTTGCATTTTAAGGTGGCCTTTCTGTTAAAAGTGGTTAAAACTGAAAAAAATTGAGATTCAGAATATTATGTACCAAATAGAGAAAAGAAGACTCCTCTGGTCCAACTGCATAAATTATGTGTAATATTTAAGAGCAAGGTTGGTTTCCATTTCAGCTATTGATTTGAAATAGAGCACTTTGTAGTCAGAAATGTGGACAGCAGGCGTTTCTTACACTTCATTTATTCCCTCATAACCAAGAAGCCGCTCGATGAAGACAGCTTTATGTAAGATTTGTCACAGGTGCAGTGTGCTGTGGAAATAGCTCATATTTTCATTCCGCTTAATTCGGTTTTCTGTATGGGAAAGTTTGGTCAGATACATACTTTCTAACAGTATCTGGGAGACTATGGTGGGATTATTTAGTCTGTAAAATTTGCTTTGAATTCCTTGAAAGGGATTGATAAGTAAGTGTGATGGCTAATTTTATGTGTCAACTTTGACTGGGCCTCAGGGTGCCCAGATAGCTGGTTGAGCAGTATTTCTGGGTGTGACTGTGGGAGTGTTTCTTGATGAAATCACATATGAATTGGTAGTCTGAGTAAAGCAGATGCCTTCCCCAGTGCTGGTGGGCATCACCCAACCCATCAAGGGCCAGAGTACAACGAAAAAGGGGAAGAGGTTGAATTGACTCTGCCTGGCTGCGTGGGCTGGAACGTGGAGCTCCCGTCCTCGGTGCTTCTGGTTCTCAGGCCTCCAGACTGGGACCACCCCAGACTCTGTCCCATTGGCTCTCTGGCTCTCAGGTCTTGGAACTGCACCGCTGGCTTCCTGGGTCTCCAGCTTGCAGATACCAGATTGCCATGGGCCTTCTCAGCTTCTGAAATCACGTGATTCAATACCTTATAATGAGTGTGTATGTGTACATACACACTCACACCCACAAACACACACACACACACGCACGTATGCACATATGTATATCTCCTGGTTCTGTTTATCTGGAGAACTCCAGTGTGGTACATGAGGTATTTGACTTGAATGTAGCAAGTGAATGTCTTTTCTTATTCACACTCTTCATAATTTCTCTTTCTCTAAGAAATGCTCCAAAGGAGATAATGAGCATGCTGCTAGTTCTAATTTTAGTGATTTATTAGTTTTTGTATTTACAACTTTTTGGGAAGAGACTGATAAGTGATAGAAACGCAAAGATTAGCATAGTTTCAGGATTAATAGAAGAAGGTACACAGGAATGTTAAATTTAATACACTAACAAGTAAGTGAATAAATTTTAGCTTATAACATCTGTTAGGAGCACTGAATATATAGAGAACTTTTATGGACAAGAAGTTAGGGACAATAAATGGCACTGGGGAACTAGTAGTAGCACTGGGTGTGGGGAAGTGGCCCCCAAATTCTGTTAGGGACCCTTGGCCATAGGAGAGAGGTTTACTCAAAGTGGACTCTAGATTTTCTTGGGGATGGAAGCAGTGTCACACCATGTGGTTTAGTCAGGGTTCATTAAAGAAACAAAGTCTATAGGAGACATCTATGTGATTTATTATGTGGGACTTGCCTCCATGCTCATAGAGGCTGGGGAGTCCCATGGTCTGCCGTCTACAAATTGGGGACTAGGTGGAGTCACTCGTGGGTTATAATTCATTCTGAGACTGAAGGCCTGAGAACCAGGAGAGCCAGTGGTATACATCCCAGTCTGAAGGCAGAAGGTGAGATGAGAGGTCCCAGCTCAGTCAGGAGTTGTGTCGGGAGGCAAGGCTGTGGGGAGTTCAGCTGGTGCACCCCGACAGGGTGGGGCGGCTGCAAAGCAAGAAAACCTCATGTCTAGAAAAGAAAGGGGTTGGAATAGAGACAAGAACATTTGTGGAGAATGAAGATAAATGTCCCACCTTACCCCATTGCCCCCCCTTTTTTGCAGAGGTTGTTTTGTTTTGCTAGATTTTTATAAAGGAGGGACTAATAACTTTTAAAATGCTAAAGAAAGAAAGGGGTCCATCTGTGTGGGACAGAACAGAGTACGAGTTCTTGAGTCTGTTAAGTAAAATCGTGTGGTTCTCTTATGCTCTCATTCTGGGATCCTGTGGTGACCTAGGCGCTTACATCTATTAGAACTAAAAAAAAACTACAAGCAAAATCTAAATTTAGGAGAAGGATCTGTGAATGGTTACTTTCTCTCTCTCATTACATATGTGTGTAAAACTTACCACATAAAACTTACTAATTTCCCACTTGGAAGCTTCCTATCCATCTCTCCACTTTGAATTCTGTTAGTGGTATCTCTGTTCTATAACCTCCTCCCACTCACCCCCAGGCAAAACAACCAAATACCTACTTATTACCCAAAATCATCAGTCTCAAACTCTTCATTTTCTTATCAGAGTTTATTGTTGTCCATATGAGGTACCATGCTACTATTAGAATTATATCCAGGTTTTTTATTTTAAAAAACTCAGAGAAAAAATGTTTCCAGTAATTTTCATTCAATGTGAATGACAAGAATATTATAGCTATAAACATTGAAATAACCATTTCATTTCTTCCTGAGGAAGTTTCATATTTTAAGCAATGAAAAAGGGAATTCTATACAAAGCTAGTTTTCAATCACATTACCGCTCATTCTTTTTTCATGTGTATTTACGTTACTTGCAGAATAGTATAATCACCGGCTGGAGGATGTAACGTGGAAAGTAGGTGTGTCATCTAGAATGTGATGCTATCTTCAAGACACGCTGAGTGGTCAAAAATCCTTTCAGATTTGCTGCTCTAAGCTTGTACTTGTGAATGAATAGTTTGGTATTCTCTCTTCCTTTTTTTCTCTATTTATACAAGCATCAAGTATGTTTTCGACATTTATTTTAAAGCGTGAGCTGTTCAGTCAATTCACCTAGACAAAATTATGCCATTAGCAGCTTTGCTTAGAAGTTCAAATGTACATCTCACCATTAAAGCATGAATGTATGTTTTTACTTTTTTAAAATCAGCATAAATGTTGCCAAATGAAAATATGACACTGTATATAACTGCTGGCGCCTATTGTCACTGTTTGACTTCTTTACCCAGTTTTCTTAAATTAGTGGCGATGAAAGACTATGATAATTTTCCTAGCATGTTTAGCATGGGTGGCTTCAAAAGAGGCAGCAGGAAGCATGCAGACCGAGTTTACCAGGTTTGTCTAAATGACTTTGATTTTGCTTTTGCAGACAGGAGTCTTAAAAACTGGCTCTTTCTCCAATTCTTTCTGCTAATAGTTTGTTTAAAAATTAGTGTATCTTTTGGGTACATGAAACTTTAAATGAATATTTACTTAGTAATTATAATGTACATTAAAGATTTTATATAATAAGTGGGAGGATCTCACAATTTGCTTTCTAATTAGCGACTGATAGTTTAGTTTTACACGTTGTAAGGACAATGAAAATCTTTTTGCTAGAGATTTTCCTTGCATATCTTGTTTTTCTAATCAAACCTGTGATCACATTTTATAAAAGCTTACAATTATAGCAGGGAATTTAATTTTCAAATGTATACCATGGAGTACATTTGAAAATTAAGTAAATGTTAACAGGAAAATAAGTATGACTTCTTTAATTTTCTTTCTTGAATACTTTATCAGTCATGTATATCACTTAAAATTTAAGTGTAAATATATTTCAAGAGCCATACTTTGCTCATCTTTGTACTTTCTTTTAGTAAGTCATCCGTACATTTAAATATGTTTTGTTATCTTCTACCAGAGTGATGTGTGAAATATTTAAAAATATGCTAGTGTTTCTCTGCCTTGTATCAAAAGTATCACTGTAAATATTGGATTACAAATTAATCATATATTAATTTGTTTTTGTTATAAATCTCTATGTTACATAATTTTATTTTGAACTACCTAGGAAAAATGTTTTTCAATAATTTAAATGTAAATAGCCTAAACACATCATCTAGGGAAACTGTCCTTAGTTTTCATTCAATAGATTTTGCTCTGGGGGACATTAAAAAAAAGCTATTCACATTGAAGTCGATCTGTTTCTGGAGATGATACATACTTTAGAGTTTATGCATGCATTTCTGTAGAACTAGTGAGGACTACTAGAATAGATTTGCAGCAAGTGGACATAGAGTTCTCAGTGATGTATCTTTAGACCCCTACAATTTCTCCCTTTTAGAGAATTTAGTCAGTACACTTTACATTATTATTTACTCTTTGGGCATATTCAATGTGTTTCTATTTACCATCCAACAGTTTTATAATATATATTTCAGTATAACAGTTACATTATGATGGAGGAGTTAGTAATTTTTATATAAATGCACTAGAATATGTATATGAAAAATCACTTTTTTTTTTTTTGCTATAGCACTTTTTTTGATGCAGATAAAGCTCATAATAACTTTTCCCTCCCTGATCTAGCACAAATTATAATTTACAGTTATTTCTAAACACTTCAGTGGATTTGAATTTTGGCAAGCATTTTTCATGAGTGTTATGCTTTTGACATTTTATGCTACATGTGATGTTTATTTTGCTTCTTGCTTTGTAGGACTTTATAGAATCAAAGAATAAGAAAACATTGTACAGGCAAACAGCAGTCTAAAAATCTACAGAGACACAATCTTAGTTGATACATAAAGGTGTAAATATTACTGTGAAATGGAACAGTTCTGCATTTGTGTTCGATATTTATGTTGGTTGCTACTGACTTCCACATAAGTGCACAGTAGTCTACAATAATACCACAGGCTCAGATATGGGTTAAGAGAAAGACCATAGGCCTCAAGGCTTATAACAGATACTTTTTCTTTTTTTCTAATCATCCACATGCCAGCACATGGAAGGAACTTTGTTCTTTTTTCTCATGTGAAGAGGTATATTTTTCAACAGCCTTTTGGTAGCTTCGGGAAGCTTTGGAAAAGGTGCGTTTTACATGGCAGCTGAAGTCTCCAGAAGTTTTCTCTCAGTGCTATCTCACTTTCTGCAGCTCTTGTCTCAGCCAGGATGGCAGAGGCTGCCCCAGTTTGTGCAGCAGCTTTGAGAGTTCCACGTTGTGATCTCGGTAGTAGCTTGACAGAAATGCTCTGCTCTGAGTGGGAGGACGAGATAAAAGTACATTTCATTTTGTTTATTGAAGTATGTTTCATAGACTTTGACTTAAATCAGTATGAAGTATGCCATATCCAGATTAAAATTTGTGGTAAGCATGTGGAAGAAAAATTCATTAAAGAAATTGAAATATTACAAAAAAATAAAACTGAACTCCTGGAAATGAAGAATCTATTCAGGGAACTACAAAACACAGTAGAAAAAGCCTCAAGAACAGGGTAGATCAAACAGAAGAAGGAATCTTAGAGATTGAAGATAACACCTTCCAATTAAATAAGTCAGTCACAGAGATAGAGCAGAGAAATAAGAGAGCAAAGCCTACAAGAAATGTGGGATTATTTGAAGAAGCCTAATGTGAAAGTTATGAGCATTCCTGAAGGCAAAGAAGGTAACACGCAAGGGTTGGATAAGCTATTTGAAGATATAATAGAGGAAAATTTCCCAGGCTTTGCTAAAAATCTAGATATCCAGGTACAAGAAGCTCCAAGGACCCCTAGGAGATTGAATGCTAACAGGAAGACACCATGACATGCAGTCATCAGACTGACCAAAATATCCACTAAAGAGGCCCTTCTATGAGCTGTAAGGTGAAAGAAACACGTAACATACAAAGGAAAGCCTATCCGAATAATACCAGACTTGTCAGCTGAAACCTTACAAGCAAGAAGAGACTGAGGCACCATTCTCACTCTTCTGAAATAGAATAATGCCCAGCCTAGAATCTTGTACCCTGCAAAATTAAGTTTTATATATGAAGGAAAAATACATTCTCAGATAAGCAAAGACTGAGGGAATTCACCAAGACCAGCCCTCCAAGAAGTACTTAAAACAGTTACACACAGATCAGCACAGTAAACATTCATGAATGTAAAAGCTAAAGATCAAAGGCCAGATACCACAATGGCTCAAGAGAGAAAACAAAGCAACAAAGTTCAACCCAACAGGATGAACAGAAATTTGCCCCACCTATCAGTTCTCTCAATAAATGTGAATGGCTTGAACTCCCCACTCAAGAGACATAGGCTCGCCAAATGGATAAAAAAAAATACAAGCCAAGTATCTGCTGGCTTCAGGAAACACATCTAACTTGCAAGGATGCATTTAGACTAAATGTAAAGGGTTGGAAATCAATATTTCAAGCAAACAGAAGCCAAAAGAAGGCTAGTGTGGTGGTTTTGATTTCAGATAATGTAGTTTTTAAATTAACAAAAGTAATGAAAGACAAAGAGGGTCACTATATAATGGTGAAGGGTACAGTTTAACAAGAAGACATAACAATTCCAAATATGTATGCACCTAACTTAGGTGCACCCAGATTCATAAAGGAAATTCTACTTGATCTAAACAAATTGGTAAACAGCAACACCGTAATAGCCACCATAACACCCTGCTGACAGCACAGGACAGATCTTCCAAACAGAAAATTAACAAAGAAATAATGGACTTAAACATAACTCTAGAACAAATGGGCCTGACTGACATTTATAGGACATTCTACCCCAAAACCACTGAATATATGTTCTTCTCATCAGCTCATGAAACATTCTCTGACATTGACCATATCCTAGGACACAAAGCATGTCTCAAAAAATTTAAAAAAGTTGAAATTATACCATGTATTTTCTCAGATCACAGTGGAACAAAGTAGAAATCAACCCTAACAGAAACTTTCATTTCTACACAAAGTCATGGAAACTAAACAACCTTCTGCTGAATGATTACTTCATAAACAAGGAAATCAAGATGGAAATCAAAAGATTCTTTGAACTAAATGACAAAGGAGACACAAATTATCAAAATCTGTGGGACACAGGTAAAGCACTCCTGAGAGAAAAGTTTATTTCCATAAATGCCTATATCCAAAAGTCAGAGAGATCACAAATAGACAACCTAATGAATCAACTCAAAGAGCTGGAAAAAAAAAAGAACAGATTGACCCCAAACCCAGCATAAGAAGTGAAATTAATAAGACCAAATCAGAACTAAATGAAATTGGCAATAGGAAAACTATATGGAAGATTAATAAAACAAAAAGTTAGTTCTTTGAAAAAATAAAATCAACATGCCTTTGGCTAGACTAATGAAAAGCAGAAAAGAAAAATCTCTAACAAGCTCCATCAGGAAGAAAAATGGAGAAATTACAACTGATGCCGTGGAGATAAAAGAATATAATTCATGAATACTACAAAAACCTTTATTGCACAAACTGGAAAATGTGGAGGCAATGGACAAATTTTTAGAAACATACAGCCTCCTTAGGCTCAATCAGAAAGAAATAGAATTCCTGAACAGACCAATATCAAGTACTGAAATTGAAACAGCAATAAAAAAACTCCCTAAAAAGAAAAGTCCTGGACCAGATGGTTTCACACCTGAATTTTATCATACCTACAAAGAAGAACTGTTGCCTATCCTGCAGAAATTATTCCACAGCATCGAGAAGGATGGAATCCTCCCCAACATATTTTATGAAGCCAACATAATCCTGTTACCTAAACCAGGAAAGGACGCAACAAAAAAGAAAACTACAGACCAATATCCCTTATGAATATACATGCAAAAATTCTCAACAAAATCCTCACTAACCGAATCCAGGTGCTTATCAAGAAAATAATCAATCACAATCAAGTGGGCTTCATCCCAGAGATGCAGGGGATAGTTCAACATATGCAAATCTATAAATGTAATTCATCATATAAACAGAAGCAAAAACAAAGACCATAGGATCCTCTCAATAGATGCAGAAAAAGCATTTCACAAAATTCAACACCCTTTTATGATAAGAACTCTTAATAAAGTAGGCATAGATGGGGCTTACCTAAAAATGATACAAGCCATATATGACAAATCCACAGCCAACATCATACTGAATGGGGAAAAACTGAAAGCCTTTCCACTTGGAACTGGAACCAGGCAAGGTTGCCCACTATCTCCACTTCTATTCAACATAGTGCTGGAGTCCTTGCTATAGCAATTAGAGAATAGAGTGCAATTAAGGGCATCCAAATGGGGAAAGAGATCGAACTCTTACTCTTTGCTGATGATTTGATATTATATCTAGAAAACCCCAAGGATTCAACCAAGAGACTCCTGGAATTGATAAATGAATTCAATAGTCTCAGGATACAAAATCAATACACATAAATCCGAGGAATTTATATATGCCAACAACAGTCAAACCGAGAACCAAATCAAAGACTCAATACCCTTCACAATAGCAACAAAGAAAATAAAGTACCTACAAATATGTTTAACTAAGGAGGCAAAAGACCTCTACAGGGAGACCTAAGAAACACTGAGGAAGGAAATAGCAGAGGACGTAAACAGGTGGAAAACCCTACCATGCTCATGGGTTGGCAGAATCAACATTGTTAAAATGTCTATACTATCCAAAGTGATCTGCAGATTCAATGCAATTCCTATTAAAATACCAACATTATTTTTCACAAATATGGAGAAAATAATTTTATGCTTCATATGGAACCAGAGAAGACCCCGTATAGCAAAAGAAATTCTAGGCAATAAAAATGAAATGGGAGTTATCAATTTACCATACTTCAAACTATTCTATAGGGTTATAGTAATTAAAACATCTTTGCACTGGCACAAGAACAGGGATGTTGACCAGTGGAACAGAACTGAGAACCCAGATATAAAACCATCCTCATATAGTCATCTAATCATTGACAAAGAAGACAAAAACATATACTGGGGAAAAGAATCCTTATTCAACAAATGGTGCTGGAAAAACTGGATAGCCACATGTAGAAAACTGAAATAGGATCCACACCTTTCATCTTTCACAAAAATGAATTCACACTGGGTAACAGAGTTAAACTTAAGGTGTGAAACTATTAGAATTCTAGAGGAAAACGTTGGAAATACTCTTCTAGACATTGGCCTAGGCAAAGAATATATGAAGAAGACCCCAAAGGCAATCACAGCAATAGCAAAAATAAATAAAGGGAACTGATCAAATTAAAAAGCTTCTGCACAGCCAAAGAAACTGTCATGAAAGCAAACAGACAACCTACAGAATGGGAGAAAATTGTCACATGCTGCATACCCAATAAAGGCTGATAACAAGAATCTATTTAGAACTTAGGAAAATCAGCAAAGAAAAAAATCAAAAAACTCTATCAAAAAGTGGGCAAAGGACATGAACAGAAATTTTTCAAAAGAAGACAGAATAATGGCCAACAAACATGAAAAAATGTTCAACATCTCTAATCATCAGGGAAATGCAAATCAAAACCACAATGAGATATCACTTATCTCCAGTGAGAACGGCCTTTATCAAAAAGTCCCCAAACAATAAATGTTGGTGTGGATGTGGAGAGACAGGAACACTCCTACACTGCTGGTGGGACTGCAAACAAGTGCAACCATTGTGGAAAGCAATGTGTAGATACCTTAAAAAGAGATACAAGTAGACCTACCATTTGACCTAGCAATCCCATTACTGAGCATCGACCCAAAAGAACAAAAGACATTCTATAAAAAAAGACATCTGCACTTGAATGTTTATAGCAGCACAATTCACAAGTGGACAGATGTGGAAACAACCCAAGTGTCCATCAATACATGAGTGGATTAATAAAATACGGTATATGTATAGCATGGAGTACTATTCAGCTATAAGAAACAACAGTGATATATTACCTCTTGTATTTTCCTTGATAGAGCTGGAACCCTTTCTACTAAGTGAAGTATCCCAAGAATGGAAAAATAAGCACCACAAGTACTCACCAGGAAATTGGTTTCACTGATCAACACCTAAGTGCACATATAGGAATAACATTTATCGGGCGTTGGGCAGATGGGAAGGGGAGGATGGGATGGGCATATTACATGGGTATACATACATAATGAGTGCGGTGCGCACCGTCTGGGGGATGGACATGCTTGAAGCTCTGACTTGGGGGGTGGGGGAAGGAAGGGCAACATATGTACCCTAAACATTTCTACCCCTATAATATGCTGAAATAAACAAAAATAAAAGCATAATTTCAAAAAAAGAGAGAAAGATATGCTTCAGTGTCTTTTAAACATTTTAGCTTTAATAAATAGGGAAATAGCTTTGACATAAATGTAAATATTTTATATTAATTTCTTCAAATACAATAGAAATTGCACTTTAGTTTCTTGTAATGTGTTAGGATTGTTTTCATAGTGCTCTGAAGGTATATTTTAATGATCAACCAATGAAAACTGGAGTTCTGAGAATGTAATTTATCAAAATGACAGTGCCCTCTTCCACAGCTTCTATACAGAATCTGAGTATCAGGCTATGGAGGACAGGGCCTGTCACCAGCAAGCTGTCACAAAAAGTTGCCCTGAAAGTCTTGTTAATTAAAAGTATTCAAATAAGTTCAGCTCACCTTAGAATTCTCTGACCACCTTGGGTTTCTTAGTTAACATAATGTATTAAACATGTGGGGGGGAAAATCCCAAATAATATTTTTGAGATCTAAAAAAATTATAAATCATAATCTACCTACATTCTTATAGTCAAGCTATATACTAGCTAGATGGATTATGAAATAAAAATATTAATAAATCTTAATATATGTGAAATAAGCATTAAAGTAAAAATACAGGGTATACAAACTGAGAAATCTATGGCATTAAGTGATTGCCATGTCACTATTCTGAACAGAATAAACATGAAGTGCTAGATACATATCACAAAGTGTGCATGTCCCCATTCCCCAAAGCCTAAATTATCTTCTAGTATGTTAGATGTTTGAGAAATATATTAATTCTTTAATTGCATTAGCATATTAACAGTTCAGAGCTGAGAATATTATATTAGTAAATAATGTCATTACCCAGGCCATACTTTCTCCTACAGAGTGACTTAGGCAACGAAACAAAATAGAAATCTTTTGGTCCTGTTTTTACTTTCCAATTGATATATTTTCTGTCTTGGTTTCAGTTAACATTTATGCTAAAATGTCTGTGTCTGTCACCTATTTGGAATGAGATGTTACTTTTTGTTTTTATTCAAAATGTCAAATTCTATTGTTTTACTTTATTCTTGCATGATAGGTAATATCATTGGAAAAATCAAAACAAGCAGTCTACATGTACTAAAATCAAAATGTCAGTTTTAATTTTGACTTTAGGCTGAATTTTGACTTTAGTTTTCTAAGAAAGTAGCTATGACATTCTTTATCATTTTGCTTATTTAATTTGTATTTTTAAGCTCTGTACTTACATCAGAATCCATTGGAGGGTATTTTCTTCCTTTGCTCTTTCCAAGGCATTTTGTTTTACCTTCTTCCAATAACTGACACCAGAAACCTTTATGCGAATCAAACCTAGGAAAAGAAAAATACAAAAAACCCAACAATTATTTTTCAAGCAATTTATAAGATATAATGACCAATATACATAAACATTTTAATTTGGATATCAATGATATCAATCTATAACCAGATAAACTGTTTTTTTTTTTTTTAAACTATATCCCTTGGCATAAAGTCTTTTGGCATACTTCTGAATTCTCAGTCCATCTGTCATATTTGTGAGTTTGCCAGATTTCTAATAGGAAAATTTTCAGTGGAAGTTCTCCTGTTAATAGAAATTAATGAAACTGCCTCCTTCATCTAAAAGGAAAAGACTCGTAAGTTTCAAGTCCACTCTTTCCCTTTGTAGGGTTTAAAATGAAAAGTCAGTCTTCATCTACGTCTATGGATTTAGATGGTACTGACATCTTACAACCTACAAGACGGTAGAAGAGAAGAGGTTTTGGTGTGCCATGGAGTGGTCACTTTTAGGGTTTTCTGTCTATAATCTATTTGAATTTTCTTCCAGAGCCACTTTCTTCTTTTGGCATGAGCTCTGTATTAAAGTAATAGCACCTACAAATGGCATCATCATGCCATAATTATAATAAAATAATGGAAGCACATCAAATTCATGTTTTAGTTTACCAGAATATTTCATATAACTCTTTCTCATTTGAGTTGGCATTATAACTCCTTAAGGATATCATGTGTAGGATTCTTCCCATTTTATGGCACTTAGCATAGCATTTGCCTGTTGTAAACATTTATCAAATATTAGTTGAATAAAAAATGAAAAAGAAGAGAATGTTTGTCAAGGTTTATTTATCTTAGACTACAAATTTTTCAGTATTCAGGTCATAATTCAAGTCTAAGCCTCCTGACTCTAGATTCAGGGCCTTTTCTTTTTTCACTGGTCTCTAGGTCTGTTTTGTGTTATTAATAAAGCAGTTATTTCCATACTTAGATATAAAAGTAATTGTCAGAAATAATTTTTGCTGGGTGCAGTGGCTCATGCCTGGAATCCTAGCACTTTGGGAGGCCAAAGAGGGAGGATTGCTTGAGGGCAGGAGTTTGACACCAACCTCGGCAACAAAGCGAGACCCCCAAAACAAAACAAAAAACAATATGAAATAATTTTTTCACATTGTTTTTGTTATTCAATAACTCTACTGCCATATTTTCTTCTCCATTAGAAAGAATTATCACTTAGGGTCACTACTTCTCAGAATGCTACTTCTCAACACGGGAATGGAAAACCAAATACCTCATGTTCTCACTTACAAGTGGGAGCTAAGCCACATGGTATGGACATATGCAGACTGGTACAATGGGCACTGGAGACTTAGAAGGGGGGAGAATGCAAGCGGGGTGAGGGAAGAAAAAGTACTGATCAGGTGCAATGTGCACTATTGGGGGATGGGAACACTAAAAAACCAGACATCACTTCTATACAATTCATCCGTGTAACCCACACTCACTTGTACCCTTAAGTCTATCAAAATCTATCAGAAGACTAGTATTTATAGAATATCAACTCTCTCCAAATCTATCTATAGATTCAGTGTGATTCCAATCAAAACTCCAGTGGGCTCTTTTTTTTTAGTAGAAATTAAAAATGATTTGAAGATGTGTATGGAAATTTAAAGGACTTAGAGAGAAGGTCCTAAATTTGAAAACAAAGAGCAAAATTGGAGATCTTACACTATTTGATTTCAAGATTTTCTGTAATGCTACCATAATCAATGCAATGTGGTACTGGCATCAATGGACCAATGGATCAGTGGAACAAAATAAAGAGTACATAAATAGACCTACACTTCTGTGGTCAACTGATTTTCAAAAAATAGAGCCAAGGTAATTCAATGGGAAAGGATTAGTTTTTCATACAGGTTGCACAAGAAAAATTGGATATCTATATGGAAAAAGTGAACATTCACCCATACCTCACACTGTATATACAAATTGACTTGAAATGGATTATTGTCCTAAATATAAGTGCTAAAACTATAAAAATTCTGGGAGAAAACACAGGGAAAAACACATAAAAAATTTTGTAACCTTGAGTTAGGCAAAGATTTCTTAGGATGAACCAACTATAAAAGAAAAATAATGGTAATTTAAAATTCATCAAGATTTAAAATTTTGCTCTTCTAACGACACTTAAGAAGATAAAAAGAGAAACCATAGCTAATCTTGTAGAGTTTATAATTATAGTCCTATGAAAAGAATGTAAACCGAGATTTCTGCCTTTGCACTGCTTTGTGTATTAGAGACAATAAAGTAATAACATTCCCCTAATGCAAAGCCTGTTTTTCATCATTAGTAATACAGCTGTAGGAGATCAGGACACAATATGTTGTGTCTTCATGTTGTTTATATTCTTGTTTGATTCAGTAAAGCAACGGAATAAATTAGTTATATAATTAGAGGTACAAGGAGAACATTAATAAAGATAGTATTATTTAATCTATACATGAAAGCTTTTTAGAAACTATAATACAATATTTCTGGAAGTCTGCTATTGATGTAATAGTTTTCATTAACATTTTGCTATCAGCAGTTTCTACAATTGAATTCTGACTCATTTTAAGTATTCAAGTGATCAAAATTCAGAATCCAGATCAGCTATTATTTTTTGCTAATATACCTTGCTGTAGATATTAGGTTATTAGATGTGAAATGTCTGATTTTGAATCAAAAGTATAGTTTATTATATCTCAAATAAGCAGCAGTACAATTAATCAAACTATGCATCTAAACTATCAACACAGTTTTGCCATCTTGATGTTAGATTGTTTATGTCAGCAGTGAAGAAGCCTGGGAGCAAGTGTGGTGGTGAAATCGTGAAAGGCATTTTCCACAGCTTGTTGAGACTTGAGTGTTTTTCCTTGCAAGAAGTGGTCCAAAGCCTAGAAGAGATGGTAGTCAGTTGGTGCAAGGTCTGGTGAATACCGTGGATGACAGAGTTTTTCCAAGTCCAGCTGCTGTAGTTTGAGCACCATTGTCTGTACAACGTGGTTGAGCGTTGTCTTGCCAGAGGATTGGCCTGTCTTTATTGACCAGTCTTGGCTGCCTAATGACCAGTATCCTCATCATTTCATCCAACACTGGTTGCTGTAAACATCCACTGTAGTCAATTAACCAAGTTTCATGAAGTTGTAGTGCAGTGGTCCCCAACCTTTTTGGCACCAGGGACCGGTTTCATGGAAGGCAATTTTTCCATGGACCAGGGGCAGGGGTTAGTGGTATGGTTTCAGGATGATTCAAGCGCATTACATTTATTGTGCAGTCAAACCTCTCTGCTAATGATAATCTGCATTTGCAGCTGCTCCCCAGCGCTAGCATCACTGCCTCAGATCATCAGGCAGTAGAGTCTCATAAGGATCACACAATCTAGATCCCTCCCACGTGCAGTTTACAGTGGGGCTCACGCTCCTGTGAGAATCTAACGCCCCTGCTGATCTGACAGGAGGCGGAGCTCATGTGGTGATGCGAGTGATGGGGAGCGGCTGTAAATACAGATGAAGCTTTGTTTGCTCCCCACTGCTCACCTCCTCTGTGCAGTCCGGTTCCTAACAGGCCACATACTGGTACGGGTCTGCAGCTCCACTATAGCCGTGCCTGCAGGGGAGACCAGTGCTGGACCACCAAACAGACACTATTAGCTTTTTTTTTGATGAATATTGGGTTTTGGACTGTGTTTTGGCACTCCATCTTTTTCCAACCATTGTGCCGAACACTTGCTATTGTCAAGAAGAATCCATTTTTAATCGCACATAACAATACAGTATAGAAATGGTTCATCTTTATGTTGTGACAGCAAAGAAAGGCAAGCTTCCAGATGATTTCTTTTCTGATGCTTGTTTAATTCATGGGGAACCCATCTGTCCAGCTTCTTTACCTTGCCCATTTGTTTCAAGTGGCGCAATGTTGTTGGAATAGTAACGTTGAACCTTGCTGCTCATTCACGCGTAGGTTGAGATGTATTCATTTCCACCACATCTTTCAGCTTTTCATTATCCACTTTGGTCTCAGGTCACCCACAGGGCTCATTTTCAAGATTAAAATCACCAGGACAGAATTTCTCAAACCTATTGACGTACTGTGCGTTCATTAGTCACATCCTTCCCAAACACTTTGTTGATATTCCGAGCTGTGTGCGTTGCATGGGTTCCATGACAGAACTCATATTCGAAAACCACATGAATTTTTGACTTATCCAGGGTTTTACAAAAATTGCTCCCCAAAAAATTGATAATCACAAACCAAACCATGCATTTGAAAGACTGAGGATGTACCTTCACAATAAAAATAAAATGAGAAATGTCAAAGTGAAACGTCAGAGATATCAACTGTCAAACTTAGTACTTAAGGAAATTGGACATTTCATATTTAAAGTAATACATGACTGGAATATACACATGCTGTGTGTTAAAATGAGCAGCTTTCTGATAAAAGGTTTTTCTTTTCTTTCGTTCTTCATCTTCTTTTTTTTTTTTTAAAGAGACAGAATCTCACTCTGTCACCCAGCTGGAGTGGAGTGACCTGATCATAACTCACTGAAGCTTTGAACTCCTGGGCTCAAGCAGTCTCCTGTTTCAGCCTCCTGAGTAGCTGGAACTACAGGCATGTGCCACTATACCTGGCTAATTAAAAAAAATATTTTTGTAGAGATGGGGTCTCACTATGTTGCCCAGACTTGTCTTGAACTCTGGGCCTCAAGTGATCCTCCTGCCTTGGCCTTCCAAAGTGCTGGGATTACAAGCATGAGCTACTGTACCTGGCCCAATTTTTCTAAGAAATACTGAACTTCATACAGGTTTAAATTAAGAATTAAAAAAGTAGTGTTTTTTTTCCCCCCACTCCTGCTAATTAAATGTGTGTGTGTGTGGCTGCCACCCAGCCTAGGCATTGCATGCACGATATCATAGACCATGGTGTGTGTGCGGGTGGGCGTGGGAAGGAGAGGAAGGTAGAAGGGAAAGCACGTCTATGGTGGCTTGAGGGACTGGAGCTTGTCCTCCACAGAG